TCAAGCCAGGTGATCAAGGTTAACATCAACAGTGATAAGTCATTTTGAGAGATGTACCACTAATATGATGTGATAAGAATGACACTTTACCTCTGTGGCCTTCTTCCCAAAACCCATAAAAACCATAATCCCAATCTAATCTTGAGAAGAGCATCAGCCAAATCCCAATTGAGGGATATCTGACCAGTTATCCTCAAAACTGTCAAGGTCATCAAAAACAAAGCCTGAAAAACTGTCACAACCAAAAGGACCCTACGGAGACATAAGGCTAAATGTAATGTGGTACTCTGGATGGGATCCTGGAACAGAAAAAGGACATTAGGGAAAAAAATGAGGAATAAAGTATGGACTTTAGTTAATAATGGACTTTAGTTAATAATAATGTATCAACAGGGCTTCATTAATTATGACAAATGTATCATACTAATGTAAGATGTTAGTAATAGGAGAAACTAGGTGTGGGGTATATGGAAACTACTAACTTTGCAGTAGTTCCATATATCTAAAATTGTAAAATAAAAGTTTATTTAATTTTTTTAATATTTATTTATTTATTCCAGAGAGAGAGAGACAGAGACAGCATGGCGAGCAGGGAGAGGGGCAAAGGGAGAGGGGAAGTGGAGTCCCCACTGAGCATGGAGCCTGAGAAGGGACTCCATCCCATGACCCTGAGAGGCCCAGAGATCATGACCCCAGCCAAAACCAAGAATAGGCTGCTCAACCAACTGAACCACCCAGGCGCCCCTAAAAGTTTATTTAAAAAAAGGAAAGAAAAAGCAGCCTGAGCAAGGACTGCCTTGCCAACACCCCCTACACACACATCCTAACTAAAGCAGCTCAGCAGGGTGAAGGCATTTTTGGTGGGAAACATCTATTGGAAGGAGGCGGGTATACAGGGGGTGATGCCGCCATAGGATCAGGGTCTCCAAAAGACTGTAAAAGAAGTACCTAGTGAGGCATCCAAACACCACTGTTGATACTTAAGACTCTTGAAGACCCCCAAAATCACATGCAGATCTGAGGTCACTGCCCACAATGCCTTGGGAACATACAAAATTTAACCTACACCTCAGACTACCATGACAATGAGAATGCTAACATCTGCATCTTAGGATGCAGTTAAGGAAATCTTAATTTGACTGACTTAAACAATAGGAAAAATGTTTATCTCACCTAAAAAATGCCAATATTCTATTACAATATTCTACTCTATAATCTTCAGTGCCTCAGCCATTCTTTAGGTGACTCTCCTGGCACTTTTGTAGTCTCCATTTCAGGTATCACATGCAGAAGGAACAACATCTGACAGAAGAAGAGACCATCTCTTCAAGTAAGACTCTTTTATTTTTTTTGTTTTTTGGGGATTTTTTTTAAAGATTTTATTCATTTATTTATTTGAGAGAGAGCACAAGTGGGGTGAGGGGCAGAGGGAGAAGCAGGCTCCCCGCTGAGCAGGACCCCAGGATCATGACTTGACCTGAAGGCAGGCACTCAACCAACTGAGCCACCCAGGTGCCCAAGTGAGACTTTTGAAGAGCACTTGTCAGGTGTTTTGCTGAATGTCATTCAGTACGAATTTGTCTTTCTCATGATTAGACTGGGGATTTTTAGATTTGGGGTAAGAATACTATAGAGATCCAAGTGCCATTCTTTTAAGGAGAAAGGAAAAACTTCCCCTCACAACTCACCAGCCACATCATAAGCCCCCTCCTAAACTAATCACTAGGAAGAAAAATGAAATTATCATACTCAGTTTAGACCAAGCAGGACTTAGCCCTGAGACACAAAGGGAAGAATACATATCAGACAAAATAGGGCTGGTATGCAAAAGTGAAGGGGGTATGAATGGACACTGAGCAGGCCATCACCAGTGTCTATAGGTAAAAACCCTAAAAGACAGGGCCTCTACTCAAGAGACTACATTAAATGAACAAGTCTGTTTTAAAATGAACGAGACACTTTTCATTGTCTAATTTACTTCTCCTTCCCCCAACACTATCACCACCCAGAGGGATTTTTAGATCAGTTATAGAAAATAATAAAGCTTTAGGCTTTGTTTATTCTACAGTCTGATTCGTAATGTGTCTAGTTTGATACTTCCATATATGTGATCTCAGATCTGTACAATACCTAGGTAGGTACTATGATCCCCTAGGTAGGTACAGATGAGGAAATGAACCCAAAGTAAGTAACTTGCCCAACATCATACAGCTAGAAACTGAGTTAGAATTCTAAGCTATATCTGCAGTCCTCGAAGCTTGAAATGTTTTTTAAGCTACCATATACTTCCCCAGATATCAAGGGAGTAGCAGCAATAAAGGAAACACCTCTAAAAGAGAACTTTCATCTATAGTTCATCTAGACCAAAACTACCCTTTCTATTAGGAGCTCAAAGCCCCCTTCTTAACCCCAAGAACAAACATGCACAAGCACTCCAACAAAGATGCTGTAGCTAACACAATATGAAACTGACATACAAGTGAGAGATTTAGATTTGTGAGCCAGTTGCATAAATTATCCAAACAAAAGTAGTTAAGATATCTACGGCAACATTTCCCAAACTAGTGTGCTTTGCTGGATTCTTCTGTACCATGATAACAAGTAGGCCATGAAAATAGTAATCTGTGATCATATTAACTGACAGACTAGGTTAAACAAAATTAAATAGGCTTATTTACCAAAAGAGCCTTTATATGCTAGCAGGCATCAAGAACTCCAAGAAGAGCACATTCTACTTATAATGTTTAACATTTACCTCCAAAAAAGAAGGTTTTCCTTTTTAATCCTGACCACTTATAAACAACTCCTAGGAAAGTATTCTGTTTAACACCATTTTGAGAAATACTATTCTACAAGGGAAGCAAAGGCCCAAGAATAGAGTCCATTATTAGGGGGCTGGAGGCAAACACACAAACCCAATAAAGAATATAGTGAAGAAGGTAGGAAGCAAATCTGGAGAGTTCAATATTATAGAAGCAAGAAAGGAGATGGTTTCTAAAAAGAGACAATCAACAGAACCAAACTATTGAGAGATTAAATAGATTGATAATAAAAAAAATTTTTGGATTGGAGTAGGAAAACTGTCACTTGTGACCTTTAAGAGAATAGCTTCAGAAAGGGGAGGAAAGGGATGGCAAGCATAATAAAAAAAGATTAGGATGGAAATGATAAAAGAAGTAGATGAAGCATTTCTAGACGATCAATAATTGTAGTTTAGCAGTGAAAGTGAAAAAAAGAAATTGGTGGGGCGCCTGGGTGGCTCAGTCCGTTAAGCGTCTGCTTTCCGCTAGGTTGTGATCCCGGGGTCCTGGGATGGAGCCCCATGTAGGGCTGACTCCCTGCTGCGGGGAGCCTGCTTCTCCCTCTCCGTCTGTTGCTCCCCCTGCTTGTGCTCTCTCTGTCAAATAAATGTATAAAATCTTAAAAAATTTAAAAAAAAAAGACATCCTTAAGTGAAAATGACTCTTTAAAAAAAATAAATTGGTTGGTTGGGAAAAGGCAGTATATAGAGGAATGAAAAAAAAATTTAGAATGGGGGACACCTGTACCTGGTTGAAGGTAAAAGTGAAAACATACTAAAAGAAACATAATTACAGACCAGTAGATGGAAGAAATGGAACCCAGAGTATAAATGACTAGAAAAAAGTTATCTTTCCTCTTAGATTGGAGAGAATTTGAATAGCAATGCCTAGCCAAGTCTAAAGACCTTATTTTAATACTCCAAAATTTCACAGATTTCTGCCTACTCCACCCAAGAGAATTTTTCAGTCTTTAGAGTTCAGTGTATAGCATATGTATGAATTTCCTGATGTGTTGCTCCTCTCAGAGGATGTCTATGTTATGGGCAAAAGGAGAGGGTTATATAGCAGTAATTACCTGAGGGCCCCAATCTGCATGAAATAAGTCAGGTGGAGGAAGATGACAATAAGGAAGCTGGAGCTCATGGAGATTTTAATTTATAATGACTTAGTACAAATGATTTTGATATACAAAATAAAAACTTACAATTAAAATAGGAACACACAAAAAATGTGAAGATTACCATAAAGGGTCCAGAAAAGAGGCATCTACTTAGCCCACCCAGGTATTTTCACAACGCTGCTATACCAACAGAAGTTGCATAAGTCATAAATTAATAATGTAACTCCAATATGCTGGTGAGTGAGAAAAAAAGACTATTCAGTAGCAGGTCTAGTTACAGTCCAGCTTCAAACTTTTTAAACTTTGTATGGCTTTCCATTTACATAAAACACCAATCCTAAGAACTACTTAAGCATGAGAATTTTCATTTTTATTTCTCTCAAGAACAAGGACACTGACATGAGATTCTGTTGCTTAGAACGTAATTAGAGATTCTATCTTTTTGGCTAATGTCATTAACAATTCAAATTGAGTACATAATTTTGTATTAACTATGTCCACATCACAAGTGTGGCTCATATATGGCTCCAGAGCCCATTTACCGTACATTTTGATCACAAAAAAGGTAGTAACATCTGATTCTTCAACTACTTAACATATCAACCTACAGAGTTTAAGAAAAGTCATACTACTTAAAAAATATATAAACACAAGATTAGAGGGGGCCCCATTCCTTAATTAAAGAAATTAATATTGATCAGTATGCACGGAATACGGGTAAGGCAACAATACCAAGACCAAATCTGGCAGTCTCCAGATTTGTGTATCTGTAAACCTAAGGCTGCCACATAGGCCAGACAACTACTACTGCCAGCTCAGCAGCTGAGCTTGGAGAAAAGGCGGCATCCACACACAGGCCACTCTAGAGAACCAGAACTTAAGGCCAGTTTTGTCTGGTGGAGACTGGAGAACGTGGCAGTGATAAACCGGGAAAAGTCTGACAAACAGGGTTGTTGGCGGTTAAGGGGAGCCTCCAGGGCTGCAATCCTGGAAGGCATAGAGCAGCTGCGGCGGGCCAACCCCCCGAGGCCGGGGTTGAAAGAAACTATGGGGGTTGAGAGGAGAGGGCTCGTCCTTACCTTGTCATCCTCGCATCTCTTCCCCAGGCCCTCCTTGGCCTGCAGCCGGCTGCTGAGGCGGCCGTAGTCGGCCTCCTTCTGGTCGATCTGTTTCTTGTGCGAGTCCACCAAGAGCAGGAGGTCTGAATTGCGCTTCTCCAGGCGCCCGCGGGCCACCTCGGTGCGCTGGACCTGGCCCTGCAGCTCCGCCACCTCCTCCTGAAGCAGGACGTGGCGGGAGGAGATACTCCAGTAGTTGAAGGCGAGGACCGCGATCACCACCAGCAGCACCACCAACACGAAGGAGGGCAGGCGGCCGGCCCGCCGGTTAGCTCCAAAACCCACCATGGGGTCGAACTAGGCTGTGCCCTGGGGCCTGGTCGCCAACACCTGCGGGCAGAAGCTCAGGCCTCAGAAGCTGAGTTGCCTGGGGGACGCGGCCCCAGGGCCGGCCGAAGAAGGCGGGCCAATCTGCCTGCCGGCGAGACGGAGAAGGGGGCGGGGCCGCAAGCCGCAGGCCCCTCCCCGCCCCCCCTCCTCAAATCTGGCCAGAGCGCGTTCCCAAGGCTTTGAAAACGACCCCGCACCAGCCGGGTGGAACCAGGAGAACCCAGCTGCCCGCACCCGGGGCCCAACACCTCAGGGTTGGGGGGCGGGGAAAGGTGCCGGAAGGGGGCGGATTTAACTCTGGCCCCGCCCGTTGGCTGGGTCCGGGTCGCTTAGGGGGCCATTGCCTAGTTTCCGCCGACGCCCCCTCTTCTCGCGAGAAATTGAGTTTCTCTCGCCCTTTGCATTCTTATCTCGCGAGTGTTATCGCTATTGGGCAGAGTGTTGTGTTAATTTTGGTGCTTTGTGTTGGCTCTTGTACCTGAGTTCCAGTTCCTTTGGTTTTTACGCTCTCGGTTCCCTTGACCCAGGGTTTAGGGAGTGCCAGCCCTACCCTAGTCCTCGTGAGAGTTTTTGTCTTTGAGGACCTCTGCGGCTGCGACCCCTTTGTAGGGAAAACAGTAGGTGAGCTTCCGGCAGAAAGGGCGACTACGAAGGTTTTGTACTTGATTCAGTAAAAGGAGATTTTCTTGTTCATGGTAATGATTTGGAGAATAAACAAAAAAGACCATAGAATAGCGGTGCCCCAAACATTGCAGAGAAACTAAGCTTTATGACTGAAGGGGGTGGTGCCAGCCTGGTTTCCAAGGTTACTGCTTTCACGAAAGAGAAGAACTTCAGAATGTATGAGTTCTGTTCTTAAACTCACTGCTGCTTTTGCTTTGAGCCACGCTTCCAAATAGAAAATCCAGAAGCTGCCCTCAATGAATGGTAATTAATGCTGATACTGACAGCACACTCTGGGTTAGAAATAACAGCTCTTTTACAAATTATTTGTGCATGCCTAGTCTCATGTTATCCTCTCAACACAGTTTCACACGCGAGGAATCCAGGACACAAACGTGTTCCAGAAACTTTCTCAAAGTCCCATATCTTGTTTGAGACTGTTCGGCTTGGATCCAGATCACTCACTGTACTCTAACTTAATCGCGTTTTGCGTTACACCCAGGCTAACCATTGCTATATGTTCAGCATTAATCATAACGTTGCAGAAAAAGCTCCCACCTCTTTTGTTTTTTCTGCAGATTTCCTTTGTCCTGACATAAAAATTTTTGAAAGTTATTGGCTCTGTCCTGTTTAAGGAGATGGAGTTGCTTTATTTTTCAAACTTCAGGTTCAAGAATTTCCGTGAGCATAAAACCCCAAGAATAAAAAAGCGTTGGTATTTTCATTCAAATCAGAGTGGTATGGTTTTGAGGCAGGAAGACTTGTCATCTTTGAATAATTATTCTATGCTTCCTGTCCCTTTCAAAAATGAAGTTACTTGTCTAATGTTCCCAGAGTAGCCTGGAAGAATTATTGCAGCTTCAAGAAGTGATGATTTCTCTCTCATAGATAAAGAAAAACAAATGACGCCAAAATTATTAATCTTTAGTTCACATCAAACTTGAGGCTTTTGCTCTGGCTTCATAAGATCAAAGAAATCAGGGCACCTGGGTGGCTCAGGTCATGATCCCAGGGTGCTGGGATCCAGCCTCACATCAGGCTCCCTGCTCATCTGGGAGTTGGCTTCTCCCTCTGCCCCGCCCTCTTCTCATGCTCTTGTGTGCTCTCTCTCAAATAAATAAATAAAATCTTTAAAAAAAAATAATGAGATCAAAGAAATCCGCTCTAGTCTCGAATAGCAAGTGGACTTTGGCAAGAGGGAACAAAACAAAAATGGGAAATCATTGACTATAATGAGCCTTCCCATGTATCCTTTCCTCAACTTCATATTGACCTTGCTTTGTGTAGCCAGCAGTTGAAAATTACTATCAAGTAGTGTTAACTGCTTAAAATGTCACTCTTTCGAAAATGTTTTCATTTTTATGTGGGATTCTGACATGTAAAAATTTAATATTGTATAAAACACATTCACATACATTTTTTCAGCAGAGGCTTAAAAGAACTATTTGGTGCTTATTATTCCATTATTCCATTTTACAGATGCAGAAGTAACTTGCCCAAAGTTACATGTCTAGCAGGTGGCAAGGCTGAATCTTAAAAACCAATCCTATTTCAACTCTTCCCCCAGGGAAAAAGTTTTTACTCCATTTTGATGGTTACCTCTTTAAGCTATTCTCCCTACTAAATGATCCCAATCCACATATCATCAAGACACTGTATAAGTGCTCTCCTAGAGATGGTTCTGGATTAGGCATTAAACAAATGGAAGTAAAAGTCAATTCCTTAAGCCAAGTGATCAACTTTAATAACATTGATAAATCACGTTATTAGTATATATCCTTGATATGATGTGATGAGTTGAGCACTCTGTGGTCTTCCTCCCTAAAACTCATAACTCTAGTCTAATTGTGAGAAAATATATCACACAAATTCCACTTGAGGCACATTCTACAAAATGCCTGACCAGTAATCCTACAAACTGACAAAGTCATCAAAAATAAGGAAAATCTGAGAAACTTTCACAGTTTCTTTCACAAAAGAACCATAAGGAGCCATAACTACTAAATGTAATATGGTATTCTGGGTAGGATCCTAGAACAGAAAAAAGAACATTAGGGGAAAAGGAAGGAAATCTGACTAAAACATGGACTTCAGTTAATAATAATATATTAATTGATTGTCACAAATGTACCATGCTCATAGAGGGTGTTGATAATGGGGGAGATTGAATGTGGGGTATGTAGGAATTCTGTACGATTTTCACTATTTTTCTGTGTTTCTAAAACTGCTCTAAAATAAAATTATTTTTAAATCATCAGTTTCTATTTTTTGGGATATCTTTTAGGTTATCAAGTATAGACATAAGTATGTTCACATAGCTGGAAAGGCAATATAATCACAGAGAAATAATGTTTTAAGATCTATTAGAGGGGTAGGGGCACCTGGGTGGCTTAGTCATTTGAGCGTTGGACTCTTGGTTTTGACTCAGGTGGTGGTCTCAGGATCATGGGATGGAGCCCCACCTCAGGCTCCACACTTAGCAGGGAGTCTGCTTGAGAGATTCTCTCCCTCCCTCTCCCTCCCCCTCCGTTCTCCCCCCTGCTCATGCACACTCTCTCTCTCAAATAAATAAATAAATAAAATCTTTTAAAAAGACAAAAAAGATTTATTTGAGGGGTAAGCATCTACTATAAAGGGGCAAGTGAGGTTGAATAACAGGAATTTTGTTTTTAAATGGAGTTTTCTTTAAGGGCAAAAATCACGTCATTTATTTCTTTTGTACAATCCAGATGCTTTTTTGAGCTCAGAACACTATTTGGCGTATGTCTTCAGTTTATGTTGACTCAAAAAATTTTATGTTCTGGGGTGCCTGGTCTGGCTCTTGGTTTCAGCTCAGGTCATGATCTCATGGGTCGTGGGATGGAGCCCCACAATGGGCTCTGTGCTCAGGGGGAGTCTGCTTGAGGATTCTCTCCCTCTGCCCCTCCCCCCAACTCACTCACTTTCTTGTGCGTGCACGAGCGCTCTCTTTCTAAAATAAATAAATAAATCTTAAAAAAAAAAACTTTATGTGCTGCAGTTGAGCAGAGGAATGGATTATTTTGTATTTGTAGCTTATTCCTCAATATTTATTTTTTTTAAGATTTTATTTATTTGAGAGAGAGAGAGACAGGGAGGGGCAGGAATGGCAGCACGGGAGAGGTGGGGAGAGGAGTGGAAAGAATCTCAAGCAGACCCTGTGCAGAGCATGGAGCCTGAGTCTGTGCTCAATTTCATGGCACTGAGATCACAACCCAAGCCAAAACCAAGAGTTAGATGCTTAACCAACTGAGCCACCCAGATGCCCCAATATTTTTTTTAACATTTTATTTTTAAGCAATCTCAACACCCAATGTGGGGCTTGACCTCACAACCCTGAGATCAAGAGTTGCACACTCTATCGACCAAGCCAGCCAGTTGCCCCATTATTCCTCAATGTTTATGACACTGGGTAGGACTAGGTTAGAGAAGGTGGCAGCTCATAGAAATATAAAATACACAAATGTGTTAGGCAAGTTCTTTCCATTGCAAGTGGAAAAAAAAAGCCAAAACTGCATTAAGCAAAAAATTATATTTATCTTAAAAGCATACTAAGATGGTTCACAGTAATATTAGAAGAGGAACAGGAACTGGGGTACCTACAGGGGACTCAATGCTTCCATGACTCAGTCTTTCTGTTTCTCCCCTGTGCTTGGCTTTATTCCTTCTTTTTTCAGATGGTTCTTTTCTTTGCAGATAAGAAATATGACCTCAGCATTCCCAGGGTCACCTCCTGCTAGTTCCTTGATCTGAGAAGAACCGAGGTCTGGCTTTCAGTACAAAATTTACCAGGGAATGATTCTGGTTGTCCAGCCTGATCATTGCACAGCACTTATATCCATCACTGTGGCCAGGGAGGTAAGGTATTATGATTGGCCCAGCATAAGACACTCCCCTGTGGCCAGTGGTCAGTCTACCAAAAACAGAAAGAATTTTGGGGAGACCAAAACAAATAATGTTAGCTACAACTGAGTTTTCTTATTCTTGAGATGTATCTTCCTTCCAATTAAGAACAGTTAATAAGTGAATAAAGACATTGTATTGCAGGTTGAGTTCCCCAGGAAACAGACTCTGAGATGGAGATTCATAGTAGGAGGAAAACAGTCTTGGCAGAGGGAGAGTTGGAACGTTACGCAGTCTCAGCAAAAGCCTCAGCCAGTTCTATCTGGAGTCAAGCTCGGGTGGCCCTTCAGAGTTGTCCTGAGTCGGAGGGGTCCAGGCTTTTATACCCCCCACATTAACCAGGTTTTGGACAGCTAGGAGAAAAGGGCTACTAGGCTGTGTGTTAACTCCAGTCAATTAGTAACAATGCCTGAATTACTGTATTAAAAAAAAAAAAAAAACTTAAGAAAGTGTATCTGGGCTAGGTGAGGAAGAATGCTATGACCAATTAGTAATTTGTCTACAGGCACAGGAGGGGGTATGATGTCATGCATGGGAGGTGGATGCTCTGATGCACAACCCAGATCCCTTTTTAGGCATAAAGGACTTATTCCCCCAACTGCTGGAGTACTGCCAACAGAGAGCCTTCAGTTATCAGCCTTCTTC